AAAAAAAAAAGTAATCATTTAGTTTGGGGTCAGGTGAGGAAGGTGGTTAACTTGGATTATTTAAGTAACCTGGTTTATATTACATCATTATGAAAAAATTTTATTGGCAAATTTGTGAGGGAAGTAAATCAGTATATGAGGATGGAAAGCTACAGTCAATGAAGGGAAATGGGGGTTTCTTAAGCTGTCTCTGCCACTAGAGAAACCACCACAAACATTTGTTGATCTGTTAAGGTAGTATTGTAACTAAAAAAACCCAAAAAACCAAACCTGTTGGACTGTTTATTTTTAAATTAGTTTTCTTAATATTTTATGATTTAAATACAGTATTTTAAAATAAAATTATGCTTTATCTCTGATATGAGTATTGTAACAAAACAAGCACAAGCACAATGTCATTTAAGGATGCCAATCTTTTGGAAAAAAGTATTAGTAATCATTACTTTTCTAGAAGGGTGGCACAAAGAAGGTAATTATTTGTTCAAAGTGATTCTGACTTTTAGTTCAGTTTCTGTTTAGTGTACCACCATGAAAGACATTTTCTTTGTCCCCCTTTGCAGCTAAACATGACATTCCACTTGTTCATTGTGGCGCTTGCTGGAGCTGGAGCAGCAGTCATTGCTATGGTAAGCTACCCAACGCTCTGTACTTCTGTTGTCATCTGAACTGCTAATACATTCTGGTTGTTAACTTAATATCAGTTATTCAATTTGCATACTATCATCAATGCTATTACTAAAATATAATTCTGTAATTCAATACTTTCTCTTGTCTTTTTTTAAAATGTATTAATGGATTCCCTTTGAAGTAGAATATAATGATTATTTTTTTGAACAAAAAACCACTTTTAATTACATGCTAAGAATTTTTAATATTCTCTTGCTGTGTTCAGACAAGTGTCTGAGCTCAGGTGTCTGTCTCATGAACAAATAAATATACTTTTATGATCTATGCCTTTCTGGGTATTCACAGGCCTACCATGCTGCTATTTTAGGAGTAGAATCTTTTCGTCTATTCTGTGCATACATGTTAATGCATCTGTTTTTCTATCAGAACTAATTTTTACTTTTTTTTTATAATCAAGATTACTTTGAATTTGATGACATTTTGCCAATGATGATGTTCCACTGAGAAAAAAGTGTATGAGCTACTGCCCTGCTCTTCTGTCTTTTGTCTACTTAAACATAGAGATATTTTTAGAATGGGGATTCTGTACCAGTGTAGGTTTGTATAATACACACTGGAATGGGAAATGAAAAATGCCTGTTACTTGGTACTGATGCATTCCATAAGAAAAGTGTTAGTGATGGTGATTATTATTACTACTGCTAGTAGTAATTTTTCATTGAATCCTAGGGCTATAAATTTTTCAATCTCCTTAGAATTACATTTATAAAAAAGGACAATCGGAAAATATTCAATGAAGCTAGTATTCCTTTTTCATTACTGATTTTTTTGTTCTTCTCTAACATTTTTTTCAGCATTACATGACCCCCTACCAACACAACAGAGATAGCTAAATGAAAAATACATATTTTCAACATAATTTTTGTTTCAAGACCATCAATAATAAGTATAATTCTATAATATAATTTGTATTAATAATTTAATTGATTTTTCCAAACTCAGACTTTTCTGCTTCCAGCTGAAAAAATGGTGACCAAATAGTTATTGTTGTAATACATATGTTAGTGGTAGGAAAGTACATTAGTTCTTAGTGGTAGGAAAGAAACCATTAATTCTCCAGTGCATTATTGTTTTGAAGTATATTCGGTAGTAATTATGAAATGCTAATTTGTTCAGATAACAATTCTGCATTTCAAAGAAGAGTTTTGAATCAGAATAGCCACCAAAAGATTTTCAGTGAAAACAACCACATCTTCAATGGAAGTAAATTAAATAGGTGTCATGAGCCAGATAGTTTAAATACATGATACTTTCAATGAAGTTTAAAAAAAACCTTCAAAGTTCACAGTAGCATATAAAAAAAATGCCATAGATGTGTTACACTAAGCACTAATCCACTAGGAATTCACTTTGATGGCTCACATTTATTCATATGTTTTTGAAGTGCTACCCATATGCAAGTACGCGTTTTATTAGATTCTGTGACTGCACAGAGCAGGCACAATAACACTGACTGTTTCAGCAGAAGTATAAATTAAGGAGCTAAGTGCTACTAAATTGTGTAGCGTCCAAATGCTGGTAAATGTATGTTTTATGAACTGTTTGCAACTGTGTGGTATATATTTCAATTTTGTAATTAAATTGTTTGTTTTTAACCTACCATTGTGATCTGTTAGGTACCTGGCGAAGACTAGCACATTCCACTCCGATGGTGATAATTTCTAAAACCAGCATAGCAGACCACATTTATAGTTTCAGCAGTGTGCTTCACACTTGACACAGTAGCCCAAAGACCACGGACAGGACATGATGGAAAGTTCAGAATTTTATGGTTGGACGCACAGATATTAACAAGTTCTCCTTCTTTAAGGGAAGTTTGCTTTCACGAGGAAGGAGTAATTTAGGGGAGGGAAAATGAATTTTGAGTCCTAAATGTCTCATATAGGAAGAGGAAAACATCTTTTTTTCCCCAGATCCTATGCTCAAATTAGTGGAAGGTGGTAAAGTGTCTGCGATGGGCTAGAGTGAGGAACAAAATGTGCAGAAGCAATTTAAGCCACTAGAGAACTAATGCCCTTCCCTATATGTGCTGTTGCAAGAATAATCACAAATATGATTTAATGAAGTTAGTCTTTGTATATATCCACAACAGTAACAGATCTCCATGTTTGTGAAATTTAACAAGATTTCTTAACAGAAAAATGAAATTAAAATACCAGTCCTTTACAAAAGAGAAAGCTTATGAATTTATTGCACTTTTAAAACATTTCTTGCAAACAGTTACTTTAACTGGAATAGTCCAACTGACTAAAGTAGTAAGTATTTTGTATTTATTGCAAGCCAGTAATAGTAGTGCATCATCAATGAGACTGTTGAATAATTGAACTGGTAAAATCTGCTCTTTAAAACGATATTTTAAGTGATGACTTTGATATACTCCACTATATCCTCAGTTCTGGATTTGTGGACATTACTGCTCTGTCTTCTTTCTGAATGGATCATAAATGGATACAGAAATGATCATCGAAGTAATACATATTAGTTTTACTGTTTTTAGTGTTGTGTCAGATAGAAACAGAAGACATGAAGTTGTTTAAATGTAGACTCTACCATCCCAAACGGTTGATCGTGAAGCTAGTAAGCATCCTGCCTCTGATGTCTTCCCAAAACCACTACAGCAAAACTGAATTATGAGATACACAGTTTCCCTTCTCAAAAATTACCATGTGAGCAGTACTCTTCTGCCTGAACTTCCACAGAGGTTTTGTCCTGTAAGATGGAGAGGCAATCAACTCTCCTGAAACAAGAACAAGGGAAATGTCGAAGTGGTCTAGTCCCTCACCCCCAGTATGATTATGTTCTTCCACAGAATATTAGAGGCATGTAAGGGGAAGAAAAAAGTTATTTAGCCTTCTGCCCCGCTGAGACCATGACATGTCCCAAAAGGAAACGAAAAACAAAACAAAACCAAAACCTTTCCTAGCCTAGATGCAATTCTACAGTTTTGAAAGGTTGAGGCATACTTTCACCTTATGAAGAAATCTAGGCAGGAATGTTTCATAGGTATGGAAAGACCCTGCATTGTCTTGAACACGTCTGTAATTGAAACATCCTGAGGCAGACTGTGGAAGCTGCCCTCCTTCAATTTGAGTAAGTCTTGACAGGGCCCCACTGGCTTCAGGCTATTCAGGTCAGAGAAGCGTGAAATGCAATTAGACAGCCACTTAGAGATGACCTCCTTAGTGTGACAATGTTATCTAGGAACTTGGTGTTAAACGAAAAAAACAAAGGTGGTGGGACTGTGAAATGTATATGTCATTATATAACATGGATATCTATTTGAGATTATGTAAGATAAAGTAGTGGGTTTTTTTCAGGAAAGTCACCCTACTTACAGTGAATGTGAACTCCAAGAGTTTCCAACAGTTATTCCAGAAGTTTGGTTCTGTAATTTTTTTAAGGACAGGATGGGCAAAGAATAGGAGTTTAATGAAGGTCAGACTGTGGCCAAGGTACATTCAGAATAGTTTGTCTGTTTTTTTTAGTAGAAGAAAAATGCCAACTGAAACTGCAAGACAGTAGGTTTAAATTTTTCTCTTACTGGGTCATTACCAAATATTTTGTGAGGATAGGAAATGTGGCTACATAGTCTGACTTTCACCATGTATTCTTCAGTTGCAAGATTTTCTGGCAGATGTGTTTTAAGAGATCAGGAAGATGTGAGTACACTGCTCAAATACCTCCCACTTCTAGGAGTCTCATGTCTACAACTGTAGGAGGTTCAGAATGTGGTTTTTAATTGAAATCTTATCCTCAAAGGACAAGCACTGGTGTTTTCATTGGATGCAAACTGCAGTTGTCTGAGATGACAGAATTATTACAATTACTAGCCTATTTCTTTTGATTTTTCTCAATAGTTTTACTGTGGATGAAATTTAAGGCATTTCATTCAGCAGAATGAGGCTTCAGCATTAGTGTGTTTACTTTGATCTAGAATGCCTGATCCAGAGACTACTCATGGTGAAAGCTTTTGGAACAGCTGAGTTAGATACAAGGCATTTCTTTTTCCTGTGTGCTAAATTGCTACTGGAAAGTGCCCCAGAGTAACACAGTACATGCTGCCATCTCCAGCACTTGCACTATCATTACAGGTTGTGCTGCTGGTATTGTGCTTTAGATATTAAGAAACTCCTAAAGATATGTAGAAATACTGCTATCTATAGTCTTTTTCCTAGAGGACAGAGTCTCTGAACACTTATTCCTATTTTATGGATCCTCAACTCAATCTGTATTCTTCAGTTAGGGGTTAACTGGGTGAAAATTTGCCATAAACCACCAGGGCAAAAAAGACACCAAAAAATTTGGTCCTTTGAAGGATTTCAGAATGCTTTCCTTGATCTTAATTATCCAGATTAAGAAATGTACGTTAGCCTGCATTAATCAGCAACAGTAGCCATCAAACATTTGTGCAAAAAGCCAACACTGGCATTTCCAAAAAAAAGAACGAACATACTAAATTGGTTCTGTTCATTCAGTATGAATTGAAGACACTCATGTATCTGCAACAGTCCATTATGAACAGGAGAATTTGCATAATCTCAAGATGTTTTTCTGATTACTCTATTCCATTTCCACTAATTGAATCCTAGTTTAATGTGACAATATCGCCAATGTCCTTTAACTAGTCTTTAATCCTCAGATGTATTAATAGACATTCTGTCCTCCTCATTTGCTAACATAAATAAACCAAGCTTTTGGGGAGTATATCATCATAGTTGATCTAGTGATTTGTTTTGTCTGCAAGTGAATCAGGTCCAATCTCCAATACTTACCAATAAGTTTTATAATAATCTCAGGCTGTGGATATTTTCTCTTCTTTTCAGATAATTTTTAATTTTGTTTTTGGATGGAACACTTGGAAAGCTCTTAATTTTGTTTCTTAAAAAAAAAATTTACCTATTCAAAAATTTACATGGAACATGAACATGGTTTCTACTCCATTCAAGATGTATACAGAAGTTGTCTTTTAAAATCATAGAAATCAGTTTTTTTGTTTTCTATGCATTATAAAGAATTACAGAAATAAATTGTGGTATAACTAATATAACAGTGAAATAAAATTACTAAATCAAATTGTGACAGGTGTGTACCCTTTTAAGACCTCAATTTTATTGCTAACTATATTTTGTTACATTTTGCCTAGCTCAACATATTTTTTGGTTTTTGACAATTTTTTTCCCAAATCAGCTGGTTTTGACAAAATAGCTTAGAGTTGTAGGTGAAAGAAAGAAGTCATGGCTAAATGGAAAACTAATGCTAAATTTATCAAGAAAGAAAAAGCAAATCTTTCTGTAATTGTATTAGATATGTATTCATAATACTGCAGATGTGTCAATGGCATATTTCTAACTTAAGCAACTACTTTAACACATAGTGATTCAATGTGGAAAATTCTGCAAGAAATAACTAGAAGGCATTTTTCCATGTAGATTTGCAGACTAGCTGACATAGTACAGCAAAAAATGATTTGCTAATTTTTCAGGTATTTTATTTTTTTTATAATCATTGCTACCAACTCCTAGTAACAGCCACAGTTAGGAGCTGAGTAATCTGAGGATTAATGAAGCTCAAGCTTGAAGGTCACATCGTGTTGCTGTACTACTTCTTGACTTAACAATGCTTAGCTCCTTCTGATGAAAACCCAAGCTTTATCCTATAGCTGTCAAGTCTGAACTTGCTGTATTCTGACTAGCTCTGTGGGTTCCTGACTCTGTGTTACCTCTCTTACAGGTCCATTATCTCATGGTCTTGTCTGCCAACTGGGCCTATGTGAAAGACGCTTGCAGAATGCAAAAATATGAGGATATTAAATCAAAGGAGGAACAAGAGCTTCATGATATTCATTCTACTCGCTCTAAAGAGCGGCTTAATGCTTACACATAAAAGAAACCTTGTCTTACTTTCTAACGTGAATGCTTTGTTGTTTAACTGAAGGCCATCCAACCATTTTAAAAACAATTGAAAGTGCTTCTCACAAAAGATAGTTTGGGTGACTTACATATCACCCACGTACAATTCTTGGTTTTCTAGCACTTGGTTTCTTAATTAGTTCTTACTTTGTGCGACCATTCTCTACCGCAAAGCTCCTAAATAGCCTTTCCTGAATCCTTTTAAGCTAATTAGTTCGGCTAGATCAAGGATACTAAACTATTGTCAAATACAAATATGTGTTTGATTTTTTTTTAATCACTTTGTATGTGTTATGCATAACACCTTTTGCATTGTTTCTTACATGTTTTTGGAAAAAAAATAGCTTTTTATACTTTTTAGTTTTAAGTTCAATAACTACTTTAACTACAGGTATACTTCAAAGGGACCATTGTACATCATGTACAATATATAAAAAAAACATTCTGATGATTTTCCTTTATATTTGGAAAACTTGCCAGATGGACCCTGATCAACTTGAATGAAGGTCCTAAGAACGTTTTAAACAATTGAAGGTGCAATTTCTAAATTTGTAATAGTGGGTAAAAAAAAAAAAAAAAAAAGGAAAAAAAGAGAAAAAAGAAAAAAAATAAAAAAGTGCTTCTTATCTTTCTTAACATTGTATTATTATTGATGTTTTTAAAGAATATTCTCTCGTTCCAAGTTCCATGAGTGATAATTCCTGTTTGTATTGTGAGCATGCAGACCGTGGTGCTAACAATGCATGGCCACTTGCCTTTTGAAGGAATTCAATACCACGGCTACCTGTTAAAGAGTTACGTTATATAGAAAATTGTTAATTCAGTGATATAGTTATCCATAGTTTTTTACGAATGATCTCTCTTTAATTGATGGTTATGCTAAATTGGAGCTGTTCATGTGATGATGTAAGAAATTACTGCGTAGCTACATTTATGAAAGTAATATATCAAAAATACAGTGACCGTAGGAGTCAGATGTCTTTTTACCTGCTTTAAAAATTTAAATGGATTGCACCTGTCTGAACTGTAAAAGATATATTAAAGGACACTTCCATAAATGTTATAGCTTGGCTTCTAGCTTTCCTACACATACTGGTTTACCTTTATTATGTTGAAGTAAGGTGAAAGACCACTACAGAGCTTATTATTTGAAAGTGTAGTAATATATTTGAACCTTTATTTTGATAGGAAAATGTTATCAGAAAGATAGGTCACCTTAACCTGAAAGAATTACCTGTATCAAAAACAAAACAAAAAACCCTATTTAAGAAAAGTCACTATTATTGGACCAAATTTGGTGGATTTTTTTTTTTTTTTGCCTATTTCTAATGCTACAAGAATGCTGTAAAGTGTCTTTTAAAGTGATGTAGCCTGACAAGACATTTTTGTCAGTGTTAAAAACCTTAGGTAGTTTTGTGCACTTATTGGACCATTGTGAATTCTCTCTCAGTGTAAGTGCATTTCTAATAAAACTTCTTGAGTAAAACTCTTCTTTGTACTATTACTAGTCATGCATCATCAGTAATTTTTAACAATTCTTGTAGTAAGTAGAGGGTAATACTATAGTTACTTGTGGCATGATAATGCATTAAGTAGTATGAGTTGATTGAATTTTTTTCTTTCCTTTTGCTTGTTTTGGGGGTTTTTTGGTTGTGTTTTTGATTTGGGGTTTTGTTTTGGTTTGTGTTTTGGTTTGGATTTTTTTTACACTTAGGCTGTCCTATGGGGTCAACACTTTTCTGATAATGTGCAGTACCAGTATTACAGTTCTGCAAAAAAGTATTAGGAACCTCTTTTTTTTTTTTTTTTTTGGATCTATATTGTAGTGTTTTAGTTTTGTGTCTTAAAACGTTTGTGCTGATTTTTTTAAAACTATGTCTTTTAAACTCATGTAATGATGTTAATGCTTTTGGCTCTTCTCTGGTATTAGAGTTTGTATTTTCACAAAGAATGCTTTGTAGCAGGCATTAAAATTAATCTGTTTTGTACATAAATGTGCCAACAGCTTCATGGTGGCGTTTTTGAAATGTAGAACAAAGTGCTTGCAAATATGTAATAAACACACTTGTGTACTTTGTGTACTTATTAATTGTTTGTGGTTTTTTTTTTTTCTTTGCCTATGCTGGACAAATCATTGTAACCAGAAATGGAAGAAGCTTGTTCTTTCTATTGTCCTTGCTATTGGAGGACCATTCTCAGCATTATGCATTTTTTTCTACAACTTACTTTTAGACGTTCAAGGAGATAGTTCCTTTAGCAGAAATCATGAGAACAAAGAGTAAAATTTTAAAAATAATAACCTGGGGATGTTACATTAATTAGAGAATATGTCTTTGCCAAATCTGTGACAAAAAAATCTTATTGCAATGAATAATTTAAAAAAAAAATAATCCAAACTCTTAAGAGTGATATTCTTGTCCCCTTTCATGACACAATTCCTTCTGGCCTGTACCTTTACAAATCACACATAGATAAAAGTACGGTATGCAGCCTTTCCATCGTTACAAATTGTGCCTCAGTTTTGGGTAATTTGTTCCATTGAATCAAAACTCCTGGTCATTGCCCACGCGCAGATTGCTTCAAATGTGTCTGTTAATCAGCATTTAGTGTCAGAAATTATATATCCTAAGAACAAGAGAGTAAAATTATTTCTAAGAGCAGAATTTCACAGTCTAGGACGAGCCAGATAGCATGAGCCATACTTGTTATATTTTTAACATCTGAGTCAAGAGAACAACTAGGCAAGATTCACATTTCTGCAGTGTCATTTGGAACAGCTCAACAGAAGGTCGTATGACATCTGTTTGAACCTGGATGTTACAGTAGCTAATACTTCAAAACTTTGATGACAATACAACATTACTTATGTGCATGTAAAGTAACTTAAAGTGGTTAAGAGAAATCTCTAGCTGTGCCAATTAATATGATATCACTAAGGAAAATTAATTAGAACCCAGTTCCACAATGTGTTTGTTTCTCAGTTAACTAGCTGTTATGTAGCTCTTTGTGAGTTCTTGATGAGAACACATGCCATAATGGTAAACAAATTTTCATCAGCGGCACAAGCCAAGGGAGTAGAGGAGCTTCCCATAACACAGCCCATCAGTCATGACTGATTCACGTCTAAGTCTGCATGTATTTGATTTATTCCAGGATCTTATCAGTTGACAGCTAAGCTGATTTTTCCTGAGGTAGGATGCATGGATCTTGATTTCTATAGACTCTTCTCTGCTTAGTCTAAACCTGTGACTGTCGTGCTTTTCAGAAACAAGAAAACCAATTGTAGATCAATCTGTTTGGTGCAGTTTTGTGTTGCACAAAAGAGTGTAGTTAAATGAAAATTGCAATTTAAGACGTTTCCAGCCCTAGATCCTCAGTTTTGCATTTTCTTCGCAGTTTACTGTTTTATTAGTTTAATAGCATGTTACAGAACAGATTCATTAGGAATCATTCCCACTCACGTGATCTTTTTCTCTTTTTTTTTGCACAAGATTATTTTATCCCTCTGCAGGATCTTAGCAGCAGTTCTGTTTTCAGCATAACCAGACCAACCATTCAATCAACATGATTTAAGCAATAGTGAAGTCCACCACAGATGTGAGGATGCGTGTCTACAGCAGGGGTGGAGAGAAACGGAATTTTCAAGCCAGCCTCATTCCTGAGGCCAATGTATCATATAGTTGAGTGGTACAGTTAAAAGCAGGAGGCACTGAAATGATTTGCTAATTTCATGTTTCTAAATAGCAGATTTTTTTTTGTCACAGGAGCTAAAAGAAGGTGAGGATTTCTACTATAACTTGAAATAGATCTATAAATTCATTATTTTTAGTAATATATACAAGTATTAATCTTCATGCAGTTATTTAAATCATAATGATCATAAGTATTTGTTGAAACATGACCACAGTTGCAATTCACCTTCAGTTGGCGTAGTAGATTTTAGGACAGAACATTTCTGTAGTTCCTATAATAATAAATTGCAAAAGTTTATAGAGTTCTTTCCATCATTATGATCCAATGCATTTTCCAATTATTCAGTTCTGGGTTACCACAAGTATTAATATAGCCAGTTTTCTGAAGAACATAGCTCGATTCAGCTAAGCTGTAAAAGAGCAGACTATAAGGCATTTTATCCCAGGACGGGAAAGGTGAAGTTTATACAAGCTCTCTTTAAAAAAGCAACATTTTATTTCCATTGGGCTGCACAGAAACCCTGCAAATAGATAGCGTTGGTCAGCAAACCAATTTATGTCTTCAGGTGATGTTTCAGCACTGCTTCCATTTTGGATAGATACCAATTGAAAAGACTAAGCTCAAAGCACTTAATATATTTAACAGCTCTTTCTATCCCATATGAAGTCTTCTGACTTGTATTTTCTTCGAGGGAGAAACACCAGCAGTTTCTGAATTTTGAGATTTTTCAACTATAGTTTCCTGTTCTTTCCGATATTTGCAGAGGATTCCAACATTTCAGAGGGTTACTTCTGTATTTAATAGTTATTGGCGATGACAGGTAACTGATTCTGCTGGTACAGTGAGAAAGCTGGTTAGTACTAGGGAACTGGATCATCGTTGGCTTACGGTGGTCTAAGCATCAGCAAGGAGACTTGCAGCTACTGTGCAGGGAGAAATCTCTCCTTAGAAAATGGTTCTACCCATGTTGTATGAGGTGCTGTGGACTCTTTCCACATGTCAAGTGAAGTCTGGCCAGCTAAATGTGAGCCCCAGGGAAGATCATTTCAGTTACTCTTTGAATTGGAATTGATGAACTTCCTGTGGCTGAAAGAGATGATTTGGGAGCAGGTATGTCTTCTCTAGATGTGCTGAGGTAATGTCAAACAGAAACTCTTTTCACAGCAACTGTCACAGCTATAACAATAATACAACAACAACTGAAATTTTGCCACTAGATCCCAATCATACTAAAAAAAAATCTGAAAAAATAAAACATGACTAGCCTACGAATAGCCACAGAATCTGTTTGGTTGAAAGAGACCTCCGGGATCTTTTCAGTTCAGCAGTGTAGAAAATCTTGTGCTTGTATCATTTGCTTAAAACCATTAGACATGTGAAGATTTTTTGCAATGTAATAGTTAAGGTTACGTGATTGCATTTTCTAAATATATTTTAAATATACGCACATACGCTATATAGTCTGATGAAACAGATTTTTTTTTAATATACAGTTAATCAGTGCTCTGTTGTCTGAAATGGTACTATTCCAGTTATAGAAGAAGAGTCAGCTGAGATTCTGCAGACTTTTATAGTATTCTGATGTCCTGTGGGCCTGTAAGCCCATTATCTTTATTCAACAGGGTTTTTTTAGAATCTACAGTAAAAAATACAGTTAATGGATAACTAGATAAATCAAATACACTTGAGAAGACATAGCATGACTTTTATAAATGAAAGTCTATTTTCAAAAATACTGGTCTTTTGAGGGTGTCAGCAATCTTTTTCATTTCCAATTTATTTAGACATCCAAAAGGCTTTGACATAGTTTCTTGTCAAAGATTTTTTTTTAAGACTGAGCAGCCATAGGGCAAGTCCTTGTATGGGTAAACAATTCGTTAAGAGATAATAAATAAGACAGTTCTTACACTGGAGGATGGTCATTTTTGGGCTCTGATTTCTAGACTAGCTCATCTTTGAGGATGGTTGGCCTTGACTCTATACGGACACCTCCATGACTCTCAGGCAGAGCATTTGGCCGTTTCTGTGTTTTTACGAGGATGGTTGTTTTGGACTTCCCTGTCTTTTGGAGCACACAACTCTCTTTTCCTCATTCTTAGTTTGACTTCATTTTATCTTAGTCATTCTTGATCCTGGGGAAAATGTTTCTGCTGTAGGTGGTGAGCAGCAACCACTGAAAAGCTGCCACTTCTGCTGCTGCAGTACTCCACTTTAGCTAGTTGGCATCCTCTCTACTGAACACAACTGTATGCCTCTCCCTCCTCCTCAGACAAGTGTAATAGCTGTACAGTCAGAGAAGAAACCTCCATGCTGTACTAATATTAATGCTATCCTTAAAGGAAAACAGGAAATTCAATGATTAGGTGAACTGTTTTCTTACAAGAAATAACATTTATTTTACTTTACCATACTCATCAGAGACTTGTGCAACTGATAAGATAATCTATGAAAATAACAGCAGCTTTGTCTCTTCTTTATGAACCTGTTCAGCTTGTTTTGATTTCTGCTAACAGCAGACCTCTGGGCCTTCATGGTGTTATTTTATTTTTCCCTTCAGATCTTCCAAATGTCCTGACAGAAATGTTATGCATAATAGTAGTTAGGATTGCGCTCAGAATTTAACGCATGCAATAATGTATGCAAAGTAGGGTTTTTTTCCCCTGTCTTTCTTTAACAAGCTAAATACTGTTCTTTCCCTCCCTTGTATAGTCTCTGGAGTGTGCCCTCAGGTGCTGTAAATTCATTCTTGCTTTTCCCTAAGTGTTTTCCTGGTACCACCTTCACCCACACCTCACTGGCCCTGGGCAAACCATTGCTGGCCCCGGCTTCCATCTTCACCTCTGCAGGTCAGGTCTGCTCCAGCTGCAAACAGCTGAGAATGGCGCTGGGATTAACCTTACCTGACTCTGAGCAAATATCAAGCTGTACCCAGTTAAGTCCCTGTCACAGTTATTCATATTCTTAGCTTGATTATCTAACTAATAATGAGGAATAAGTGATAAAGTGGGTACGCTGTGAAGACTATGAAGAAGATGTTAAGTAAGGAGAAAAAATTGAGCTCCTTAAAGAAATTTCTATCATCCTTCAATTTTCTTAGTGTGAAAATAAGGGAAAACAAGAAAGTGACAGACACTTAATACCTACAATATCATGCTACTCTAAATCCTATGCACATTTGTGCTTTGCTATACTTTTCAAGTGATATTCAAGATTTATTGTTGCTCTTTAAAATCAGAAATAATAATATTAGACAAAAGAATATTTTCCTAAGTCTGGGTAGGGGTATTCATCTGGGACAAAGCAACGGATAATAAAAAAACCAAAACCACTAAGTTAATGAATAAATGTTAAAAATAGTAATGTGAGTTCATACCGTAATTTAAA